TATAGTACTTATGTACAACTGAGAATAGACATGGGGCCACCTGTGCTTTATTCCAGGAAAAAAAGGAAGAGCCCATATTAATAAATACATTTTAAAGAGAAAGTAGGTGAAAAAATGTATACTTTCTAATTACAAGCCCTGAGTTCTGTGAGTTTTTGTTGTTTGTTTTAGCAGATACAGTCCCTTAAGTGAAGTATGAGGGTCTTAGGGTGTGAATAAATAACCAAGTCTTGCAAAGCATTATCAGTTTGATATGTAGAATTTTTGTACTAGGCTACTTGTGTCTGTGTACCAATGTACGTATATTTTATATTCTTTATCGTTGAAGTCATCTGGTGTCTTAATTATAATATCAATTCCAGGAACACCTCTATTGAACTTAAAAATTATTTGAGTTAGACTCATATTATAAAAGCAATAGAGAACATCAACCACTAATTGGAACTTGCAAAATATATTTTTACAGATTAAAATGAAACAAAATGTCACTTAAATGTTTTAATTGGTTTCAGTTTTACAACTGCAAACCAGATGGTTTCTTTTCAAGTAGTTTACAATGTCTTTGCCGAATAACTGAATTACCAATGCAGCTGTGATTATTAACATTTACCTAAACAGAAAAACATGTCTGCTATTTGTTTGCTAAGGAAAGTACCTGCTTTGCAGAAGTTTGGCAAACAAATGATGATTCCAATTACTCTAGCACGGTATTTTAGTAAAAATAGAGAGCAAAGATAAATAAGAATAACTCACATCTTAAAATAAGTGCTAAGTTTAAAATTTTATTTACTTAGAAGTGTTAGAATCTCTGTGAAGTCTTCAAATTTTATGTTTCTACAGTTGTATAATTTATTAATATTTACAGTTTTAATGGGAAAAGTCTGCTTTGAGACTTATTTAAAATTGTGTTAATAATTCTCTTTAACTGCTGGTTAAAATGTTCTGTATGGTAGTAAGTAGTCATGGAAATTTGTTTCTCATATAAGCTGAGGTTTTTTTTTTTAACTTCACACTCTTAGCAAGAATAAGTTTGATGCCAACTGTACCTGGAGTCCTAGATGCAAATTCAATTCTTAGAGCCAACAATGGAAGGAACCATTAAGGAGGATGTAATGGCGAGGAGTGCTATTTTAGTTCTTTTCCCAAAGAGATAAATTACCAGGAAAAATTCCTGTTAGATGATGACATTGTAAACATTCCATGGCAGTCATTTTCCAATCAGAATTCTTCTTGGTATAATTTACTGTTTTGGTAAAAGAACAGAAACAAAATAATTTTTGTCTTGCAAGTCACTCATTGCCAAGGCATTTTTGTTGATCTGGGTGAAGCTCTACAGATCTGTCTAATTCTACAGTGAGGGAGCTGGTTGGTGTAGAATGGTCAACATAGTGGCAGCTTAGCTCTCCTCCAGGTTTCTCACATCTCCTCAGCAAAATAGACTGGGTATGTTCTCAGGGTCATGGTGAAGGAGTAAGAAGGGCAGCGAGAGAGCAAGCCCCAAGGCATAAGACTTTTCTAAGCCTGTGTTTGCACCATGTTTAATAACATTCCTTTGGCCAGGGTGAGTCATATAGTGGAGCCCAGAGTAACAGCAAGGTGCAGAATGCTCCTCCATTCCCATTCTTAAAGGGAAAAATAAAGAGTTGGGGCCATTCATGTCATCAATGGAACACAATGTCTTACAGGTTTACACTACTCTTTGGTAGCATTACGTTCTATAACATTCATTTTCCTATTTATGAAAATTAAGTTTGATTCCAATTTTTCTCAATTATAATCAATGATACAATAAAAATAAACATACACCATTATGCATATGTATCTTTAAAGTATTTAATTATGAAGCATTTTAAATACACAAAGATCTATCCTTACCACTGAGATTATATAACTTTTCATATTTTTTCATATTTGTTTCAATCTTCGTATCTTATTTGTTGGTTTTAAAAAACAGGAGCAGTGGCTCGGCACCTGTGGCTCAAGTGGCTAAGGCGCCAGCCACATACACCTAAGGTGGCGGGTTCGAATCCAGCC